AGATCTCCAGAGCTCACATGAAATGCTGGGCACAGTTAGGGGACAAAGACAGAAGGATCCCTGAAACTGGAAAGACACCAGAGATCAACCTCTGGCCTCCACACACACATACGTATATGTGCACAGGCACATACTCATGTACACACACTCACACAAACAAGTACATACACCACACACACAAAACACATACAAAATAACAACAAAAACTCAGAATAACAAGTTATTGGGGTTTCTTTGCCACTCAATTAAAATTTCCTAACTTGAGAGGAGATTTTGAGGCTTTAAGAGAAACAGAGTCCAAATAACTGAAATGTGGTTACAGATTGTAGGTTCAGTCTCTTCTCTGCTAACAGTGCAGTGAATATTTTTTAAAGCCTTGGTTGAGCCTCTGAAAGGCTCCCTTGGCTTTGCAGTTTCTGCAGTGGGAGCTCTCCTCATCAGAGCTGCAGTTTCCTTAGCTGGCCTCTGGAGCCTGGAGAAGCAAGCTCCTCCCTTTCCTGTGTTGATTTGACAAGCAGGTTCAGAAGCTTATTGAATCTAAAAGTAGTTGCATCTCAGTGGGGAGCAGGAAAGACTGGCTGTCTAAAGGCCAGTGCATAGCAAAGACAGAAACAGTAGCTTGGCAAGCTGATAAGGACTGAGCAGAATCAAGAATAGAATCTGCAGGCTGAGACACAAGACACCTGCCTATCTGTTTCCCCTGTGAATGAGCTCGTACATATGTTCTGTATTTGCTCATTCTTCCCCATTTCTCATGTATTTATTTTGCTCCTTAATTGACTAGTGGGGACCAAATCCCAAGTGTTTAGAGAATTGAAACTTTAACTTTCTGCAGTAGCTTTGTACTGGCTTGCATCCACTCATTTAAAGACACACACACACACAATTTCTTTATTTTGTGTGTGAAGGGGTGGAGATGTTGAGTGTGTGCATGCCATGCTGTGTCCGTGAAGGTGAGGACAGCTTGGAGGTGACAATTGTCTTACCATGTAGGTCCCAGGCTATCAGGCTTTGTGGAAAGCACCTCTACCCACTGAGACGTATTAGCACCCATTTTTCAGGGGGTTTCTAATTTCTCTCTGTAGCTCTGGTTGTCACGGAACTCGATATGTAGACCAGACTGGCCTCGAACTCACAGAGATCTGCCTGTCTCTGCCTCCTGAGTGCTGGGATTAAAGGCGTGTGCCATCACCACCTGGCACAACGCGACCAGGCTGGCCTTAACCTCATCATTTTCTTGCTTCCATCTCCTCAGTGCTGGGATTATACATGTGTGTCACTATTTCCAACTTCACAGTTTTTGTTTGCTTGGTTTTTGAAAAGGGGGCTCATGTAGCCCAGGCTCTCAAACTTGACATATTGCTGAAAGATTAACCTTCAACTCCCAATCTTCCAGCCTCTACCTTCCAAGTGCTGGGATTCTAGGCATAGTTACCACATCCTGCACATCCACTTTCTCTTCCAGCTACTTGAGTTTTTGTTTGTTTTACTTGGGTCCAGGTACGTTTAGTGCAGCATGTAGTCCTAGCTGAAAGATAAGTGTTAGGCTTGGGGATTTGTAAACAAAGACGTACAACATTATAAACCATTGACTTTTGTTTCTCAGATCTTTCTTGAGGTCTCCCTAGTGTTCAGATTACAGGCGTGTATGACTGCACTAAGCATCCTTGCCTTATTAATATCACAACTGGAAGGGGTTAGTTCTCTGCCTTGTTCTTTCAAAAGTCCCTGGCATCAAACCATTGTGGTGAGTGAGCCTGTAAAATGCAGCTGCAAGGGAGTCAGCAAATAAAGACACTTGCTGCCAAACCTGAGACAACTGGAGTTTAAATTAATCCCTGGGACCCAAATGATGAGAAGAGAGAAACAAACCCCCACATTGTCTTCTGACCTCGACATTCGAGCTATTGTGCACTTGTCCACACAAAACACAAACACACACACGCACACAATCAAATGTAATGTTATTTTTAAAATCCAGCTGAAAGAGCAGTGCCTTTGAAGGTTGGCTTGCTCCCTGCCTCTCCCTTCTGTGTGCTGGGATCTCACCTGCCAAGCCTGCTGAAGGCAGTTCCACACCTTTAAAAATTCTCTTTGTATGGCTGTCAGGCCCCAGCTTCCTGTTCTGACTTTTGCTCCTTGTCTGCTCCTTGTCTCTTCCACCAGCCCTGCCCCAGAACAACTTCACTGATGATGTTCCCCTATCTGTCCCTTGAAGCATGGGATATTTACATGTTTAGAACATTTTTTATGTTTGCCTTCAGACTTCTTCATGGCTAGTGCCCTTCATTTACTGTATTTTTGTAGCAAACTCTGGTAGATTTGAAAGCATATATCACTGTCCTTCGTCTTCTCTGAGAACAAAGAGCACATTAATCTAGCAATGTCATCTTGCCCCACCCAATTTCCTCTAGCCACATTATGCAATGTGGATTTACTATTTCTTCCTCTTCTTACTCCATTTCTCCCACTTCTCCTCCCTCCCCTCTCCTCTATTGCCCTCTCTGCTTCTTTCCTATCTTTTCTTCTTTCCCTTTTTTATTCTTTCTGAGTTGCACAGTTGGGTCTCAGGTTCCTCAGCCAAGTTGTTATCCCACCTCAGCTCCCGAGTGCTGGGACTATATGCATGGATACCATGCCCAGAAAGTTCTTTTGCTTTAGGAGAATCTTGGGACCCAAACTCGGGGTCTTGTGCTCTAACACCTGTCTCCATCTCCATCTTTCCTTTTCTTGTATTAACTTTTATAGATCTCTCTTCTCTGTTTCATTCTTGGGCATTGAGATGGAGTAATAAAAAACATGCTGTGGCTCCCTGAGTGGCTGCAGGGGGCAGAGGGCCATGAGACCACGCTGCAGTTCTCTGAGCGGGAGCAGGCAGCAGGTCCCAGAGCAGCCAGTCCCAGGCAAGGCACATATGGCACAGGTCCCACTCTGCAGGTGGCTGGTCCCAGGCAGGAAACCATGCGGTGGGGAAGGAGACAGAAACATGGATTGCCACGCCATGCAGAGTGAGGTTGGATATTTATTTAGTGGGTTATGGAGGGGGGAAAGAAGGGAGAAGAACAGAGAGAGAGAAAAAGAGAGAGAAAGAGAGAGAGAGGAGAGAGAGAAAGGAGAGACATAAGCTGCCTTTTCTTTTTTCTTTTTTCTTTTTTTGGTTTTTTTCGAGACAAGGTTTCTCTGTGGTTTTGGAGCCTGTCCTGGAACTAGCTCTTGTAGAATAAGCTGCCTTTTCGAGAGGGAGATGGGGAGATGGAATAAAAAGAGACCCAGACTGAAGCAGGAAGATCTGCCTGTCTCAGTGGATGGGGGGTGGGGGTGGGAGTGGGAGGGTGTGGCATGGCTTGTCTCTTAAAGGGACAGAACAGATCATTACAGGCATAGTGGTGCATGCCTTTAATTCCATCACTCAGAAGACTGAGAGAACTACCACAGTGCAGCCTGGGGTGCATAGTGAGCTCCAGAGGGGGGCACTTTTCTCAACAACTACAATGACAAAAAGCCATAAACCTCTGCTCCCTGTCACTGAGTTAATTTATTCATCTCAGTTGTAGTGCCTGCTCTGTAGTCCAAGGATTCTGGCACCCTTTCGATGTAAACAGCCATCCTCCCCTCCCCCATCTTAGAAATTGAGGAATAAGAAGGCATTTTCTTGTCTTGACATTTGTCACGAACTGTGACAAATAATAATTAATAGGAAGCTTATAGATGTCATCTCACTGACAAGAGGACGGGCTCCGTCAGTACTGTAACTTAATACGGTATTTGAAGCTGTGATCACATCTGAAAATCAAATAGAAAGACATAGAAAATGAGTGAACTCAAAACAGAAAGGTATAATTTCAATTACTTGCAGAAGGCATATTAACAAATAAAACTACACTGGTTATAGTGGAGAGCACCTTTAACCCCAGCCCTTGGGAGGCAGAGGTAGGCAGACCCCTGTGAGCTCGAGTTTAAGGCTGAGCTGGCCTACATAGTGAGTCCTAGGACAACTAGAGCTACCTAGTAAGACCTTGTCTTAGAAAAAAGCAAAAATAAACAAACAATGACAACAAAAACTAAACTAACTAACGAAAACCCCTAATATAACAAACACTCCCATTTTAAAAACAAATAAGGGAATTCAGCTTGTTATCTTTGTGATCAACATCAACAAAAATTTTGATACCCTTGCTGTATCAAACTAGAAAATAAGAAGAAATCGAGTCCTCAAAATAACATGACCTAAACACTTCCAGGAGACAGGCAGAAAACAGCATCTCACAGAGCCTATTTTCATGTTGTCCAGGAAAATGTGGAAATGGTGCCACCCACTTTTAGGCCAGATTTTCCCACATCAATTAATATACTTAAATCAACCCCTACAGACATGCTCCCAGATTAATCTCATCAAGACAATCCTTCCCCAAGACTTAACTTACTCGATTCTATATTCTTTCAGGTTGATAATTAAAACTAACCACCATACCATATGATTACTGATTTTTTTCTGTCAACAAAGGAGTTCGTAGACAATGTTAAATTATAGATGGCAAGGAGATATTGATATTAACAAAGGATTGATATACAAAGACTATACAAGAGTGCTCACAAAACATCAAAAAGAAAAGAAAAAAGAAAGAAACTGAAGAATGGAGATAAACAAGTAAGTCACTGGGAAAAAAGCTACCAAATATATAGACAGAGTCTCCAAATCATAAATACTCAGATATCGTGTTCCTGCCCTTCACTAGTCAGGGCATCTTGCTCAAATTATATCAAGTTATCTCAGTGTTCTTCTTCCTCATGCCCAAGGTTTCTGCCCACCTCCATCCCTCCCCTCCTTTTGACCTTCAGTTCAGCTCAAGTACAAAGCTTTACCAACTCACCTCTCCCTCTATCAAATGCAAATTGTGGTGAAATCATTGATCATGTGGCCTCATTCACATTAAGGCAGAAAGTGACTTGTGTCATATATGGCATTCCGTTTTCCCAGCCCATCTAATGCATCAGTAGTGATGGCATTTCAGGTATCAGCCTACAAATGGGGGGGCTTCTTGATTAACATAAATTAAATAACACATAATGTTGCCTCCTTTGGTTCTTGTTATACCCAAATCCGCAAAGTCCCCCAAAAGCCAACAAGGAGACTGAGTCCTGTATGTAAAAGTAAAGAGACTTTATTTTATGTAAGTTTGCAAACTCTGTCTCTCTGCATGTCCAACATATTGGAATAAATGGAGAGCCCCAAGCTCAGTTAGAGTTGGGTTTTTATAGTAGTAAAGGTGGGGTTGAGGGGTTTCTGAGGTTCAGGACCCCTGTTGGCTGCATTTGTCTAGGGGTGTCCTGGTGAGTGTGTGCTGGCAGGTGATCCTATCTACAGTGATTGGAACGTTAGGCATTTCCTTTGAATGGTCTGTTCTTGGGTGGTACTTGGGTAATCTCAGTTTGTGGTTCTTCCAGCAACCAGAATTGCTTCAGGGTAAACTACTTATTGGTGGTTAAGTCCTATACTGGCAGGTGATAATGGTTGGAAGTAAAGAACTTCCTTTGTGCGATCTGTTCATATTTAGCGTAACATGGCTGGCTCCTACAGTTCTGTGTCCTGAAATTTTTGCTTGCTAAGAGCAGTAACCTTTTTTGATAACAGACAGGGTTCTGGAAGGGAGTTTTGAAAGTTGGTGTTGGGCCGGGTGATGGTAGCACATGACTTTAATCTCAGCACTCAGGCAGAGGCAGACAGATCTCCAAAGCAAATTCCAATGCAGCCAGAGCTGTTACACAGAGAACCCCTACCTCAGAAAAAAGAAAAAGTTGATGCTGTTATTGAACTTTTTGTTTCCTTGACGCAAACTATAAAATACTTATTAGGGAAGAGAAATTTAAACTAAAATCCTTTGTTTTTCTTTTCAGGAAAGTTCCTATGTAAAGAGCATGCCTTCTAACATGAGAATCGCCTATGTGACGGGATTTTTTTGTTTCTGTTGTAACCTGGATGCCTGGGGCAGTCAAGATGAGTTGGGGCAGCTACTCACTTTCTCTCCAACTTCTGGTCATGTTAATAGGGCTTTCTCTGCTGTCTCTGGTAGAGACATATGGGTTCAATAAGTGCACACAGTATGAATTTGATATTCACCATGTGTTCTGCATTCGGAAGAAGATCACTAACTTGACAGATGCCATTAGTGACATACCTAGATATACTACTCACCTCAACCTTACAGAGAACTACATTCAAGTCCTTCTTCCCCAGAGCTTCACTAATCTGCCTGCTCTGGTGGACCTGAGACTAGAGTGGAATTTAATTTGGAAAATCGACGAAGGTGCCTTTAGGGGACTTGAAAATTTGACCATTCTAAATTTAGTGGAAAATAAGATTCAAAGTGTGAATAAGTCCTTTGAGGGCCTGTCCAATCTGGAGACTTTGCTCCTGAGCCACAATCAGATTACCCATATTCACAAAAGAGCCTTTACTCCTCTTGTCAAGTTGAAATATTTGAGCCTCTCGCGAAACAGCATTACCGATCTTTCTGTTATTCTTGAAGCAGTCCAGTATCTTCCGTGCCTGGAGTATCTTGATCTTACTAACAACAGCATCATCTACTTGGACCACAGCCCTAAGGCACTGACTTCTCTGATCCACCTGAGTTTTCAGGGGAACAAACTAATGGAGTTAAATTTCTCTGCTTTGTCATTGCCTAACCTAACCACGCTAAGTGCTTCCCAGAATGGCCACGGAGTCATTCAGAATGTGTATCTGGAAACTCTGCCCCAGCTTAGGAGCTTGAATCTGAGTGGAACATTGGTGAAACTGGAGATGCTTTCAGCCAAACACCTGCAGAATGTAAGGGTTATGGACCTCAGTAACCGGGAGCTTAGACATGGTCACTTAAATGTGGAAACTGTTTGTCACCTCCTCAAAAACCTACCCAGGTTAGAGGCCCTGGTTTTTCAAAAGAATGCCACCAATGCAGAGGGCATTAAGCATCTGGCGAAGTGTACCAGGCTTTTGTTTCTTGACCTGGGCCAAAACAGTGACTTGGTTCATCTCAATGACAGTGAGTTTGATGCTCTGCCCAGTCTCCAAAGACTGAATCTAAACAAGTGCCAGCTTTCCTTCATCAGCAACAGGACCTGGGGTTCCCTGCAGAACTTAAGCATCCTAGATCTGAGCCACAACAAGCTTAAAGGTTTTCCAGATTTTGCCTTTTCACCCTTGAAGGGCTTGAAGTCTCTCTTTCTCGGAAAAAACCCCATCACAGAACTCAATAACCTGGCCTTCAGTGGGCTATTTTCACTGAAGGAGCTCAATTTAGCTAGGTGCTGGATAGTAACAATTGACAGGCATTCCTTTACTCAGCTTCCAAATCTAGAGTTCCTAGATCTCGAGGCCAACAATATCCGGACTCTCAACCATGGAACCTTCCAATGTTTGAAAAAACTCAATGTTTTGATTCTCTCCCACAACCGCCTGGAAATTATAGAGCCGCGTGCATTCTCTGGTCTCACTTGTCTCCATCACCTTGACCTAATGTACAATAGCTTGTCATATTTTCAGGAACACGTTTTCTCCGGCCTGGAAAATCTTCAGGTTTTAAAACTCGGTTTTAATAACATCAAATATGAAACTACTATGACCCTTCAACATCCTCCATTTATGAAGCTCAAATCTTTGAAAGAGCTCAACCTAGAAGGACAAAGAAATGGGATTCAGGTTGTTCCGAAGAACCTTTTCCAAGGGCTGAGTAGCTTGCAGGAGTTACTCCTAGGAAAAAACCCCTCCGTATTCCTGGACCACTACCAATTTGACCCTCTGATTAATCTCACAAAGCTGGATATCTCAGGAACAAAAGGTGGAGATCGAAGTCTCTATTTAAATGCCTCCTTATTCAAAAAACTCAAAAGGCTAAAGCTCCTGCGCCTTGAAAATAACAACTTAGATTCATTGATTCCTGGCCTGTTCTCCAGTTTACAGAGCCTACAGATCTTATCTTTAAGATTCAACAACTTGAAGGTCATTAATCAAAGTCATCTGGAGAATCTGACATCATTGGTGTTTTTTGATGTCTATGGGAACAAACTTCAGTGCAACTGTGACAACATGTGGTTCAAGAACTGGTCAATGAACACAGGGGAGGTCCACATCCCCTTCCTCCGGAGCTACCCTTGTCAGCAGCCAGACAGCCAGAGTTTGCTTATAGATTTTGATGATGCCATGTGTAATTTTGACTTTGGAAAGGTCTATTTTTTCTGTTCCTTCACGATGGTCCTCACCACCATGGTCTTCTCTTGGTTCAGTGCCAAGATGATTTCATCTCTGTGGTATTTTTTGTATATATGTAGGGCTTGGTACCTCACTAAATGGCACAAAACAGAAAAGAAGTTCTTGTATGATGCATTTGTCTCTTTCTCAGCCACTGATGAGGACTGGGTATATAAAGAGCTTGTTCCAGCCCTGGAAGAAGGCAACCAGACTACCTTTAAGCTTTGTCTTCACCACCGGGACTTTGAACCCGGCATTGACATCTTTGAGAACATCCAGAACGCAATTAACACAAGCCGAAAAACTTTATGTGTGGTCAGTAACCAATACCTGCATAGTGAATGGTGCCGGCTTGAAGTCCAGCTGGCCACCATGAAGATGTTCTATGAGCACAAGGATGTCATTATCTTGATCTTCCTTGAAGAGATTCCTAACTATAAGCTGTCGAGCTACCACCGACTAAGGAAACTCGTAAACAGACAAACATTTATCACTTGGCCAGACAGTGCTCACCAGCAACCACTCTTCTGGGCCCGCATTAGAAATGCATTGGGCAACGAGACTGTGGAGAAAGAAAATACACATCTAATTGTTGTCGAGTGACTGAAAGTCTTACAACCCCAAATCCTGCTGCATAATGTTGCCCAAAATACATGTAAGCTGAGTGTGACAAAATGAACCCATTCTTCAGGGACAAAGGCAGGGCTTGCTTATAACTGTAAGACCTGGGACCATTTGGGTAGTGTTCATCAGGCAAGTAGGAGAATACAGGAGCAGGGTCCCACTGTTATGGGATTGGGTGGAGGGAAGAAATTCCTGTTCTATTAAGGAGAAGACTTGGAACAGCAGTCACCTGAAATTCTGAGGAACAGAAAGGTCTTATGTGTCTTGAGATCGTTGTTCAAATATTTTCTCCAAAGAAGTTCCTGTCAAGAGAGACTGCATTTGTGTACCAGCTTCCTCCCAGATTAAAACCTTCCATCTTGCAGGGAAGCTCCCTAAAACGGATGTTTACAGGGAGCTAAAACAACAGGATGTTCTAGGGGGAGATTAAAATATTCCATCCTGCAGGAAAGCTTAAACAGTAAAGCCTGCTGAGAGATACCCTTAGGCAAGCCTAGCTGCTGGCACAAGCAGGGAGCAGCTGAGCTGCCAGGAAGGGGCTCAGAGCAACTGAGCCACCAGGAAAGGACACTTTCCATCCTGTTCAGCTGTCTGCAAGTTGTGCAGTGCACTCTAGGTTTCCAGCTTTTGTGAAGTGCCATCCAAGCCTGGGTGGACTTTGGTAATGCAGCTGTTTTATAGTCATTTCTGCTCCTGTAAATAACCCCTCACTCATGTTCTTGTAAATACACCTAATAAAGCTCATTGACTGACAAAGTTGGACCTTGGTGGTAGCTGTACTTTGGTATGTGGTCAGTTCCCTAGCTGGAATGAGGAGACAACTGTTCATTTCTCCCAGGAACAGGGTCACATAACAACACTACTGCTAAGAACCCATACCAACAGAACCAACAAAACAAAGACAGCACAACAACAAAGAACCACATTAAAACAAAAAGTAATACTCTAATATGTATATATTCCATACTTTCTTCATCCATTCTTCCATTGAAGGGCATCTAGGTTGTTTCCAGGTTCTGGCTATTACAAACAATGCTGCCATGAACATAGTTGAGCATATACTTTTGTTGTATGATAGGGCCTCTCTTGGGTATATTCCCAAGGTCTGAAAAAGCATAGGATAAATCCGGACTAGCTGAACATAGCGGACAATGAGGACTACTGAGAACTCAAGAACAATGGCAATGGGTTTCTGATCCTACTGCACGTACTGGCTTTGTGGGAGCCTAGGCAGTTTGGATGCTCAACTTACTAGACCTGGATGGAGGTGGGGGTTCCTTGGACTTCCCACAGGACAGGGAACCCTGATTGCTTTTCGGGCTGGGGGGGGGACTTAATTGGGGGAGGGGGAGGGAAATGGGAGGCGGTGGCGGGGAAGAGACAGAAATCTTTAATAAATAAATAAATTTAAAAAAAAATAAAGACTCTATACAATGGCAAAAAAATAAAAAAAAATAAAACAAAAAGTAAAATAAGGGGAAGAAAGAAATTGCCTCCTACACAACTCTGGTTTGTGACTGATGTCCCAGACACACAGCCATTGGAGTTTTTAAATCTATAGGGGTTTTTTTTTGGGGGGGGGTTGTTTTGTTTTGCTTTGTTTTTTGTTTTGTTTTGTTTTGTTTTTTTAAGATGGCATTTCTCTGTGTGTTGCTCTGGCTGTCCTGGAACTCACTTGTAGACCAGACTAGCCTTGAACTCACAGAGATCCGCTTGCCTCTGCTTCCCAAGTGCTGGGATTAAAGGCGTGCGCCACCACTGACAGGATCCTCAAATCTATCTTAAGATGTCTTTAGATGGCATTTCTATGTAGTCTGCTTTGCCCAACTAGCTTGGATGATATCTTCTGTAAGTCTTCCTTCTCTAATTCATCAAACCCTCTTCTTAAATCGGTAGATCTAGATCTATACAAGCATTCTCCTAAGCTCTTGTGCTCTGAGTTGGAGGAAAAACTGACTTATGGACTCTCATGACATCAGAAATTGTAAAGGGAACAACACAGATTCTAGTCCATATACCCACCTTAGTCCCCAGTATTTTTATACATAAATAAAAACGGGGAACATTTTGAACAGTGTTGATTACCAATAATGTGTCCACTGTCCAAACTGGACCCTGGAACCTGCGGCTATGCTGCTTCTGGACAATGCTGAGCAATGTAATTTTTTTCTGAAACCGGCCACACCCATTCCTTCCTGATATTGTCTCCTCCTTGGGGTGGAGTGGCTCTTGAGTAATGGAAGGGACGTGCAAAGCTGTGTTCCTCTCCTGGTCTTGCGCAATCTTCACCTGTCTAGTTGGTCTAGTGACTGCTTGCTTGCTTCCCCCACCCTTTGCTTGTTCTCCTCTCTGCTGTCCCTGCATGGCCGACAGAAGAGAGGTGGTGTTCAAACAACCTCAGCAGGCATCAGAACAGGTTCTTCTGGATGGAGAGAGCTCTGTTGTCTTCTCGTTCTTACTGTTTCTTCTTACTCTTACTGATTCCTTCACAGTAGTGAAAGCAAAGCATAGGCTAAGATCTAACATAACTAACATGCCACATTTTTCTTAATGAAACTAACTTATCTCACAGAAGAAGAAAATGACGAAGCTCACTGGGCAGCACACTGGTCAACGGCCTAAGAGTCCTTGAGACTATGTGACGCAAGGCTTTCCATGCTGTGAAGACGAGGATGGCTGAGAGCTAACAGGAGAGTGTACTTAGGTGCATAGAAGTCTAGTCTTTTATGACAGAAAGGTAAATGATTAACTACTCAGACTGATTAAGTTTTGGAGACGATGAGATAGGTGTTTTCTAGGAAACGTATGAACAGTATGTTTGCTCTTGTGCTGCAGAGACTGGGAGATCCTGTGTAAAGTAGAAATGTTGCTTGCCTTGAATCTGAGGGTTCTGGAAGCAGAGGCTGGCTTATCTCTGTGAGTCCAAGGCCAGGCTGGGTTGTGTAGTGAGTTCAAGGTTGTTCATAATTTCAATATTTAGATCAAGAAGCATTCAAGCAAGCACAAGGACTTTCAGGGTTTGGGGCCTCGTGTGAGGGCATCAGTCATGTGTCCATGGAGGAGGTAGTGCTTGCTACTATTAGCTAGAATTATATCAGCTTCACCTCCACAAGATCAGTCTCCAGAGAGGAAATCGGTGGGGGTTAGCCCAAAGCTTCCAAGAACCAATTTGGTAAAGCGGTAGACATTTGTTGCAACCCAATGGTCCTGCACCCGTGAAGCAATCTGAAAAGTGGACTATGTTTGACATTGAAAAAACAGTAGGGGCTGGAGAAGTGGGTGGGTAGGTAAGATCACTTGTTCCTCTTTAAGAGGACAGGGATTTGGTTCCCAGTCCCCACATGGTGGCTCAGAGCCATCTATAACTCCACTTTCAGGGAATATAACCCCCCTCCTCTTCCGGCCTCTGGGGGAACTGCATGCACACGGTACATAGATATACATTCAGGTAAAACCCATACATATAAAATCAAAAGAAATAAGTCTGAAATGTAAGAAAAATGTGAGGACAATCAAGAAAGATCTGCAGGCAAGAGCACTTGCCTCAAAATTTGACTGTCTCTCTCACCCACATACGACGATGACAATGATGATAATGACGATGAACTGAATGAAAGAAATACTGTTTGGTGCCATCACTGATAAACCGGTACTGTCGTCACTTTTGTTTGGGGCTTGGGAGGGATGGCGCTGTAGTTCAAGGCATATTCATTCATTTCACAGGGGTTTGCATTATGTGTTGTTATGTGTTAAATATTAACTAGCTAGCCAGGACACAAGAAAATTCATTTCCTAGATGAAATTACTAGAGCTCCAAGCACTTTTTAATTTTTAATAAAAGCATTGGGCTCTCTCTTTATCAAAGACGTTTGAAAATCTTTATATAATTTCTCTTTTTAACAAGTCTGAAGTAGAAAGTCTTATAGCAGAAAAAATTAAACTATAAAAACAAACACCATCCTTCTTCTAAAGATGGAAATATATTACGCTTTAATTGATTTTGAAGAACTGAAATGTTCTTCCCTATGAATGCTGAAAAGAGGGTCAGAGACTTCTCCATTGGGAAATGAATCTGAGGCCTACCTGTGTGGTTCTCAAGCTTTTCCTAACCACAATTTCAAGGTCAGTTTTGTATTCATGAAAAGGGGGTAATCGCCGGGCGGTGGTGGCGCACGCCTTTAATCCCAGCACTCGGGAGGCAGAGGCAGGCGGATCTCTGTGAGTTCGAGGCCAGCCTGGTCTACAAGAGCTAGTTCCAGGACAGGAACCAAAAGCTACGGAGAAACCCTGTCTCGAAAAATAAAAAAAAAAGAAAAGGGGGTAATGTCTCCACCTCCTCATTGATTATGTATTGTTGTGAGGTCTCCACCTGAGAATACTGCTCAGGCATGGGTTAAGCCAAGAGAAAGTCTTTATTAGTCAGCCAATGACCACACTTGCATTTGGGATCCCAGTATAGTTCCAAGCTTTTCTCGGGTTGAGTTTTTAAGCACAAAACTATGCCCTAGGTTGACTTATGCTTTGGGACAATGGTCTTTTATCCTGCCACCTATATTATTTTTAATAAAATGCTGATTGGCCAGTAACCAGGCAGGAAGTAGGGATGGGATAATGAGAATTCTGGAAAGAGGGAAGTTTGAGTCTGCAGTCTTGACCCAGATGCAGAGGAAGCAAGATGTGATTGCCTTGCCACATACTACATGGCTAACATAGACAAGAATAATGGGCTAGTTTAAGTTATAAGAACTAATTAAGGGCTGGAGAGATGGCTCAGAGGTTAAGAGCATTGCCTGCTCTTCCAAAGGTCCTGAGTTCAATTCCCAGCAACCACATGGTGGCTCTCAACCATCTGTAATGAGGTCTGGTGCCCTCTTCTGGCCTGCAGACATACACATAGACAGAATATTGTATACATAATAAATAAATAAATATTTAAAAAAAAGAACTAATTATTAAGAAGCCTGAGCTACTGGGCCAACCAGTTTTGTATTTAACGTAGACTTCGGTGTATTTCTTTGGACTGAATGGCTACAGGACTGGGT